AGCTACTAATAATCCGTCAATATTGTGGTTGATAATACCATGTAACCGTTGTGAAGTTACTTATACAAATATCTGCTGTAACTGTAACAGGATTTTATTCATAACTGTCCAATGATTCTCTCCAAGCAACCGCATCGCATCAGGTGTCCTGTTGCCATGACAACCTATTTTATGCGAAAATAATCTTAAATTAATGAAAAAATGAATGAATGGGTGCAATAGGAAGTTTACGTTTCATATTATATCATTTTTGTTTGCAGTTTCACTTTTCTTGTGCTGTCCTGTGTCCTCATGGAATAGTGTACTTGATAATTCAATATAACAGAGAAATCGTTCAGATAGTGATAGAAGTGTCATCCTTGGTACAGTCAATCTTTGGGGTCACACTTTAAGAAAAATGTGTTTGCCAAAAAATATTTTCAAAATGGCTGCCAAATTCAAGATGGCCGCCTGGTGATAATAATCTCACTTTATATCTGCATTATATTTGTAATAAATAATTTTATAATGTGTTCATAATGTTAAAACTGACCAAACATTGGATGAATAAATATTTGTGAACTCATATAATGATTTCAAGATTTTTTCAATATTTAAGATGGTTAACCATCATTTGCGGCTATTTACTGCATGTATTCTTCCATTTAGTTTCCTTAACTGGTTTAGACGTATTAGTCATGTATTTGCATCGTTTTTTCTTTGCATTTTAGACCTAATTTGAAGCAATGGCAAGCACAAGTAATACAAGTAGTATGTGTAGAACAGGCTGGTCAAAATGTCTCTGTCAAGAAGTGCCAAGAGAAGCATTGAGGAAACCAAAAAAAGAGCAACTTGATTCGGACACATCAGGCTACAAGACGCTTGCAAAGAATATACCAATTTTTCACAGTCTCAATTCATCTCCTATTCCTATTAATCCCCTAAGACTGGATGATGGTGGTGGAATAGAAAAAACAATATCATGAAAGCTGTAGATTGAAGTTTAAAGATACTAAATTGGAGAGAGCTAAACAGAAAGCTGATACACAGAAAAGAAAACCATTTCAAGAAATGCTTGATGCAACCAGTAGGGAACGAGTTAAAAAGAGTTTTATTTGTGAAAAGACATAAAAGCAAACCTTAGTCAGATAGAAACCACTCAAGCATGCAAAAACCTGGAGGATATGGCCCATGAACTAAATGATGTTAAGCTTCTAAAGAGAGTTTGTGTCGACCCTATTGCTTGAGAGCTAAAATATCATCCAAGGTGTTTAGCAGGCATTCATAACAAGGTAAGATCATTGAATCACCAAGAACAAGAAGAACAGCTTACAGTGAACAAAGACGTATATCCAGTTGCATTTTCAGAACTAGTAACATTTATTCATGAAGCAAAACTGTCATCTGATAAACAATCTTCTGTATTTTGTTTGGCAGAATTGTCAAATTTGTATTCTCAACGACTGTTGCAGCTGGGTGTTGAGCAACCATCAATAAATGTATCCAGACTCAAAGAGTGACTCCTG